GGAAATAATGTCTTGTTTCAAGGACATAAACCTTTATTTTTCAATTGTTTACTTCAGTTTATTTGCTTATGAGACAATTTGCGATTTTTTTTTCATTCTTTGATCCCCCCCCCCCGACATTACGTTTGTTTTCTATATAAAATCCCCCTCCTCTATCTCATGTTTATTCTTTTTGATTCTCTGAAACAATCATCAGTTGTAAAGAGATTATATATCGTTTAAAAAAAACACTTTCCCTGTATTACAGTTGCTATTTTGATTTTACCGAATGAAAAGCGAAACACAAACAAAAACAGAGTTACCGCTCTTGCGCCTGTGATAATATTTTGAAAGAAAGCAACAACAAAAAAATGGTTCACTAAAAAAAATTGATAAATCAAATTATTGACGTACCTGAAATTATCTTTTTCGTGTAATTTCTCATGTTTCATCACACTGTCGTATGTATCGAATATTAGATGACAATATCCACACTGAAACATTTTGACTGGGGGGGGGGGGGGGGAGGAGGGTGTATATAGTCTTCTCAAATAGATTTCACCGTGATTTCATAACGTTCTGGAACAAAGTGATGAAGAAAAAATATGATTCATTATTTTGCAGTGATTAAATTACTCTCATTGGATATTCCTGATGATGCGTAAAAATCAGGATGCTGACTGAATAGCTAAGAGAATGGATTGGGGCTGGGGGGAGGATATTTTTAAGGATTGTATTTCATGCGTTCAAACAATCTAAATTTTGCATCACTTCTTCACTCTCAGATTTCGATACTTAATTTATTGATTCGTAATGAAACAAAGTAACATTAATATTTATTGACTAGGGTTTCATTAATTTCTATCATAGTCTAACCCATCTCCTGTTATATTGATTTTTTTCCTTAACAAAATTTATTGAAAGACAACGTTCAGATTGTCTAGCTTCACAAATCTCTAAACAGAGTATCCACTTTAAAATGAAAGCATTTCATTGTCCAATTTCTTTAACATTTAAGTGCAAAGATTTTTTTTTTATATAACTTATTCATTTAATTCATTTTCTACATTACCAGATGTCATTTTCATGCAATATCATCTCAAAACGTCGATACGTCATTTACATTTTTTATGCGATATTTTTTCAGCTGTTTCATTTGTCATTTCACCTTTACTTAATTTTTAATGGACAAATCCACATCTTGCTGAAGAAGAATTCTTGATGGAAAAAAAAAAACTTCCTATACTTTCAACGATTTCATCATCCGTATTTTGTAGATTTTATCTAAATGAACTCCTCCATAAAAATGAGTCAAAAAAAGATACATTATGTACACTTCTAATGTGCAATAAAAGTTAATCTTTTCTTTAAAAAAAATTCAAGTAAATAACAAGATATTTAAACGTATTCCGTAATACTCGACTACTATTTCCTTCATTTCCTGAATGATTTGAATAAAAAGACAATAACACCCCATGGGTTCAAGGATTTCTTTATTACAAAAAATTACACCTCCACAATGGGGCCCATACTTCGTGTGTGTGGCCTCCTTTCCCCCTTGCCGGGTGTTGGGGGCGGTGGTGCGCGGCGCTTCCCGGAAGTCATGGCTGCCATCTCATGGTCGAGGACACACTTTGGAGTAGTGTCCTCGTCGCCGTGCCGGTATCTCACGCTTCTCTCAAAGGCTGCCAACCTCCTACTTCTGTGTCTGCGCCATCTCTCTAGGAGATAGCGCAGACACAGGGCGAGGGCAAGGGCGAGGGCAAGCACCAATCCACTTATACCCACTCCTAAGGCCTCGTTTACTAGATCAAAAGATAACCTAAATAAGTTTCTTATGTATAATAAACTTACGCTTCTTTTTAACATAAAATTTTCTCGGAAAAAGAGAAACATCGCATCGTTAAAATTATATAATCTTTGTTTTTTATTTGATTTTTATTAATTAGATTTTCTTGACACAATTTCCGATTCCTATTTTTTCCCCTCTGAACTTCACTTTCTAAATGTACATATCAAAAAAAAAAAAAAAAAAAAAAAAAAAAAAAAAAAAAAACCAAACAAACAAACAAACCAAAACAAAACAAAACAGAAACAAAACCACGCATTATATAATTACTTGTATTCATTTTTTTTTAAATGAACTGATGGGAAATTATTTTCAACATGCAACTAAAACTGAAAATAAAATGTTAAATACAAAGAGAATTAAAAATTTATGAATACATGTGTAAAATAAATTAATAAATGCGAATATATATATATATATATATATATATATATATATATATATATATATATATATATATATATATATATATATGTATATATATATATATACTTATATACACATCATGCTAAATACCCAGAGAGTCCACAGGATCCAACTCGTTGAAACTACTATTTGACGTCTCGGGTATAAGAGGAGGGGTTGTTCGACTCACCGCAGTGATGTCATGCAGGGTGGGGGATGGAACATGCGGATTGTTAGTATTTAAAACAGTTATAATAGAATCATTAGTTGTGTTAGTTAATTTATCATACATAGTCGCAGCGAGGAAAGACGGGGTACTAGTGTTAATAGCTAAAGTGAAATTGTCGTTTGTCTGCCGGATTTCTGGGGTAACGAATAATGAGTCGGTGACATTATATGGTGTGTGGTTATGGGTTGTGTTTGTTTTGGTGGTGAAAGAATTGATTAATATCTGTAAAAGCTTAGGAGTCGTGCGTGTGGATGGAATGTCACTGTGGTGAGTCTGATCGGAGAGACGTGGAGTGCTGATCGGAACCGTAGCCGTCAGTTCCGGTTTAGAGTGCTTCTCTGATGTGACTTCTAAAGTCCAAAGAAAAGTATTTGTAATAAAATGTATCGAACTGTTTAAAAGATGTGAGAAATATTTTCTAGACCTTGGTATAAGAATAAAACTTCCTTTTTTGTATAATTATTTGGTACAAACAAAATGAATAAAAATAACTTCATGTCAATTAAAACGTAAATCAAAAACTTTTCAACATTAACGTGATCACTTACGATGTAAAGCATAGGTTAAAATTATAATCAAGTTCTTTTTTATTTTCATCAGAATGAAAGATATAATTGATACTGGTCGTCTGTGATTCTTAACTTTTTTTTTTCTTTTATCAATGAAGCAAAGGAAAATATGATTATCAGATAGTGACATGGATCACATTAATGCAGAAAAAAAAAAATCAATAAACGGTTTTTTTTTAATAAATTAGATCTGTAAAAATGATCAATTCAATTCATTAATCGCTTTTGTTTCCACTTGATTCCACATTTTACAGATCTGAATTTAATTAATCTAATTAAAAAATCTCATCAACTTCAAAAGCATGACATAGAAAAGAAGACTCACGTCTCTCTGCCACTGCAGACGTCAGAGGGTTCATTGTTGTTGCAACTGAAATAATTATTCTTTCATTAGAAAAAGAAATGATAAACGTTTATAAATCATCGTCGATCCATTTAAATTTCTCTAAAGAAAAGAGAACAAAAATGCGCATATTTAATTCAATTCTTCATCGACAAAATTAACATTACCTCCACACCTGACCTCGCCGTCGTGTAGATCACACGTCATTTTTAACAATAATGCAATAAGACCAAAAAACAAAAAGCGGAAGAATAAAAGACCAGGTGACTTGCGAGACAAAGATTGTGGAGAGAGTCAATTTTCCCACGAGTGAAAGAGTCTACTTATAGAGTACAAAAATCTTTGATGTACCCGACAAGGGTGTGTTAATCAAAAGGATGCTGGGGATTATAGGCTCATTAGTTGATTTTTAAATAAAGCATTGATCTCATTGTGAGAAATGTTTTCGGGACTTCACATTATAATCCTAATTCTCTTTCCTTTCTTGTTCTACATACATATTAATATTTAGGTGTCATGCTATTCTTTTACCACCATCGTAACATCAGTATGCAATGATATCTTAAGAAAAAGATATTACCTTCGCATAAAAAATGTTCACCGGTTGATGTCAATTTAATCTCTTTTATTTTATATCTGCACAAGAAGGTGTATTGCGTTAAATTCCGACACTCCCCGCGAATGATCACCTGAGGAATCTCGGTATTGGTTATAATTTCATTAACGTGACACTCTACTCTTACGACCTCTGCATTGACTGGACACACCGATACTTGGTAACAGGTGGCTATTTGATATTCGGTTTCACAGGAACAGGAACAGGAAGCGTAAGGCACACACAGTATAACCATGATAAAACAAAAAAGCACAGACAAACACATTTTGCACTTAAAACGACAAAATAATACGTCCGAAATGAAGAGTGTATAGATGCAACTTTTATCTCTGATAAAATATCTTTTATTAAACTTTAATAGTTACCCAGCCAAATAATTACTCAATTAGTGATGCTGACCTAGAGAGAGAAAAAAAATGGAGTCCACATCATGCACTAAGCCAGACAACAATAACTTTTTTGTTTTATTTTTTTTTTTTTTTTTGGATTCGTTGAAACATTGCATTTGACTTTTCGAAATAAACCTTTTTTTTCTTTGACGACTCAGTTCATACATGTAATGTGTATGCTCATTTCTACTCTTTATTTTTCATTTATTTCATGATCCGAAATTTGAGAGAATTCAGAATTTTCATTGGAATTATCTTATTTCATAACCTTAGCTCCGCCCTGTCAGAATATCCGACTCATTAATTTAAATTTACTCCAATTATTATCGAATTAAAAAAACCATCTGCTAGGGATCGGGGAGGGGGGTATAAAAAAGTGTTGTATTAATTTTTGTAACTCTTCGTGAGGAATCTTATACTTTTTGGATTAAGGATACGAAGACTATGGAAAGGTGAGTGAATATGCCCCCCCCCCACCCACCTAATTTCTGATTAATACTTTTATTATTCATTCATTCATATTTTTCACGCATAAAAAATAATTAAATAGAAAGATAGAAATAAACCTAATTGGAAAGAAAATAAATAAATAAACATTTGAATTAATCGTCTTATAGTAAACTCGTTTAAAATATTACAGCGTTTGCAATTGTTCAAAAATGGAGGAGATCCATTTTTACCTGGACAAAATCCAGGAGGTCATGAGGACCATGAAGTGTCCGTGAGTATCTGTCTAATTGTGGATTAAATTAAATTGTGAATGGAAAATCTTTTTCAATGACTTCTAATGTTAAGTAATTTATTTTTAATTTTCACATTGATCAACATTCGCCTTCTCTTAATATAGACGAAAAGAGCACAGAGTATGTAGTAGAGAGAGGAGAACATCAACTCCTAAAGTGGAGGGGGCCTGGTCAGTTAAAGTGTATTTTTATTCATCCTTTTTACAAAAAAATTGATTCAGGTGATATATTGTATGCTTATTTTTTAACACTAACCAGATAAATCATTTTATTCAATAAAAGTCAATGTTTCATTACTTTTTAAAGGTTTAAAACTCCCAGTGCCCCCAAAAGACCGAGACTTTGGTTAATATTCTCTCTTTAATCACTTGTCTTTAAACGCTTAGTCTAGATTAAATATTTTCCTTCATCTTAAATTTCTTGTGTTTTTTTTCCCCAGTCGTCCAAGGACTCTCCTCAGAAAACGAACTAATCAGTAAGTTTCACTTTGAGTGTTTTGACATTTATATACTATAATTGAAACTTAAATGGAGAATTACAATTCTTTCCAAGAAAATGTATCACTTTCATCCTTTCTTTCTTTTTAAGGAATGCCGATGAATCTATTCTCCCAAAGTGGGAGGTCTCCCCAATAAGGTTAGAACAATCATTATCTCCTCTCGTCCATATATACATTTTTTTTTACTTTAAAGTATAAAAAGCAAATGGAAATATAAATTGTCTTATAATTAAGTCTCGGTACAAAACAAAAATTTTCAAGGAAAAAAAAATCAACACATCCTCTGATTGTTTTCTTTTCAGGTTATTTGTCAATTCTTTTTCTTTTTAAATTAAATTATGTAAATATAAAATTTCAGTAACGAGTCGGGCCCCATTCTGATCGGTTCCGAGTGAGTAGTGACTTTCACAATTATCAAACATCAATATAAGTTTAAACAAAAGAAATTAACTGAATTAGAAATTAAGTGTTTAAAATACTGTTTCCTTCACACACGGTAATTTTCCTTTTTATATTGTAGTTCGGAGTCGGAATTGGCGTGTATTCCGCTGTAAGTTTTCTCTTTTTTTATTTCAAAACAATTAACCCTTAATAAATATATGTATATCGTACAAGAATGTACTTTAAAAGAATACATTTTTTTTCTGCGACTACTTCAGGAAATGTACAGGTGAAAATATTTATCATAATAAGTGACTTTTTTTTTCCTTTTAACTAATATTTATTTTCTTCATTTCAGGGAATTCAGTGAGGAAGACCAGAAAGAAAACCACGTCCAGGAAGAAGACCAGGAGGAGATCATCATTCCTCCGTAAGTCTATACAATGTTTTTTTTCTTTACATTTAATATTTTTCTTTAAATTCGTCACATTCCTTCTCTCACTCTCCATAGAAAAACAAGTAATCTGTATGTAAAAAAAAAAAAATTGGATTAATTTCGATGGAATGAAAATGAAAACCTTATTCGGTCATACGATAGATTTTTCCTCTTTTTCACAAAAGTCGTATTTGTTTTCCCGGAGTAAACTGGATTCCCGTTTTATTTTCTCAGAAAAAAAATGAAATCAGTTTTACTTTATTTCCATTTATTCTTCATTTATTTCATTTCACAGATCCCAGATGTAAAACCAATAGAGAAGAAAGAACAAAATAACCACAAGATGTCCAACAAGATATTGTTTTTTTTCATGAAATTAAAAAATAGAGAGTATCCAATACTATTTTTTTTTCTTTTATGCAGAATTACTGAAACTTCTTCATTGTGTCATTAATTAATGGAATGATCTGTAATAGTCTTTTCCATTGTGTCGTAGTCAGGTACAATCCTTTTATAGTGGCTTTCTTATTTAAGAAAACCCTCAGGTCCACACGCATAATATTTCCATATAAGCATACGGTCACAAATACATTTCCAGAGATTGAAAAAGATTGTATGAATTCACACAGTGTGTCATTCGCTTTGATATCAATAAAGGATTCATTCTGATGTGGTGATTCCACTACGGATGATCTTGTAGATAAACTGGAAATGGTTGTCAAAGCCACAACCATACATGAAGCTGCCAGTATTCCAAGAATTCCACTGGTTCGTAGCGCAGTACAGCGCTTTCGCAGAGAGCACTTTTCCTCGGTCATCTTCCGCTTGTCTATGGGAACACTAATCTAAATGCGTTGAAATGGATCATTTATAAGCAAAATCTTTACCAATAATTCACGTGATTGGACATTGCTTTTGAAATTATAAAAAGTCTCTTTAAGAATGTTCTGCAGAGTGATTCGTCATGTCAAATTATATTACATTCCAAGAAAAGAATCAGAATCATGATCTTTAAATTTATTATCCCCCCCCCCCCCTCAAAAAAAAGGAAGAAAGAAAACTTCAATTTCAAAGGTGTACAATTATAAAAATTAAACTCTCCATAAGATGATGTAAATTTAATTTTCACACACAGACTTTCCATAATTCTGGAATATTCCTAAAAATGTGTGTGTGAGAGGCTTAGGGTGTTGGTGTATGTGTGTGTTGAAAGAGGGGGGGGGGGGGACTAACATCGGTGAATTATTTCCTCTCTAAACGTTGATTTGGATTTTCCCTGAAATTAAATTCTGTGTCTTTCATTTCTATTTATGTACGTAATTTTAATCTACTCATTTCCTTTTTATCTCTATCCTTAGAGTCAATATTTAATATCATTTATCTGAAAATTAATTGATTCGTGAAGGAGGAAGAAAACTATACGTCACCATTCAATCGTCCTAATCTATATGCTAATTATCAACGTTGCATACAATTAATCTTAATTAACCCCACACGTCAGGTGACCTTGATCTTTTATCGATTGGGATCCCTAATTAAAATCGATCAGGTTTAATGTATTCACCCCTCTGACCTTCATTTACATAATTGACAGGTGAGCAGGTCTTCATTTACATAATTGACAGGTGAGCAGGTGTTAGGGGGTGGCCAACGGACGCCTATACTACTTATATACTTAGGTGCTTATTCAGACCAAGCACAGCAGTTGCAGTATATGGCAAATGTAAAAGCCGCCGCCAGTCGGTCAACAGGTTTTGGTTGGAGGGAAGACAGGCAATTTCGTCTTAAGAAAGCAAGAAATGCTTGTATTCCCTGGAACAAAATCGACCAAGAATTGTGGCTATTATATATAAATTCTACAAGTGCTCCTAGACAATTTACACCCCATCAAAAAGCTTGTTTCGATTTCAATAACAACGGTTTTTGTGTTCGTCCTTATTGTCAATATAGTCACAGTTGTTTGAAGTGTTCTGGTAAGTACCCTGCAACAAAGTGTCAGGAAACATTCCAAAATTCAAATAAATCTCTTGTGTCTAACAATGACAAGACCTCTCCTCGTCTTTTTCGTCGCTTTTGGAAAAAAGCACAGTCATCAAATTCTCAAAAAAAAAAAAAAAAAAAAAAAAAAAAAAACCAGAAACAACTCCTATTTATGTTAATAATATGGTTTCGTTCCTTGATATGTATCCTAAAACTTCAGATGCTATTGAATTAACCACTTCTGTGCCAAAGGGCCGATTTTGGACCGATTACACAGTTGCGTAGAGTGCCACGGGGCCGATTTTAGGCCGATTTTATTGAAATGAATTGTGACTATGTATTTCTTTTACTTCTTTTCAACGTAAATAATTATTGAACTTTTGCATCTTTTTATTGCATAACATTAAAGTTTTTATGGCTTATTTGTAGAATATCATGAAAATTTCAGGAAAATTTATGGATAAACAAAGTGAATTTCATACCAGCGATGACGCCATGAATTTTTTCAAATAAATGAGTTGTTACTTATAAAACCGGTATTATTACTATTGAATATGCTCAATAAACACGATTTCATTTCAAAAGTATATTCTCATACTATTATAAATTGAGTATATTGAGGTACTACTCATCCATTTGCCAGCAACGGTTAGAATCAACGTCATTTTACGTAAATGACGTCATAATAACAAGTACGTGTAAGCCAAACCTTGAGAAAACGTTCAGAGTTTATAGATTATAAATATGTCATCGTCGCGAGCCACAGGTTTTGTGTCCATTCTATTTCCACAAACCCGTGGCTGTCTCCTACAAATTTCTCTCGTTCTCATGAATATTAATAACATACATTCAACCAATGGAATAACATCTGACGCTTCAAGTCAGAACCAATGAAAATGATCAGTCTATCTTGTATTTGGATGTAACCATAACCACGAGCTGTACATCAACTTCGGTTCGAATTTCCTTTCTCAACGAGTAACGCTATTCAGCGTTCTCACACAACGTCTACATTCGAAACCCTGTATTTTAAAGTAAAACTTTGTAAGTATTTTAGAATATACGTTACTCACCTCTGTTCTTCAGGATCTATCGTATTTTTTTAAATAATTCTGCCAAGCATAGCAAACATGATTTCATTACGGGCGTACCAGAAATTGCTACAGATTGATTTCATTGGTCAAGGTAAATCTGGCGTTACTTAATAAATATTCAATGATTCAGTCGCGAGAACGAGAGAATTTGGTAGGAAGCAGCCACGGGTTTGTGGAAATAGAATGGACACAAAACCCGTGGCTTGCGACGATGTAAATATGTGAGTTTATATACTAAACCAAGTAAAAAGTGACCTTGGATCCCCCCCCCCCCTGAAAATGCAGACCTCCCATAAAAAACTTGGATATGGTTAAGTTGGTATGAAGTCATATTAGGTATGAAGAAGATTTGGAAGTCAACGACTACCCCACCCCAACCCCACGAAATAGGATTTTCACAGTTTTTTTTTTTTTTTTTTTTTTTTTTTTTTTTTTTTTTTTTTTTTGACAAATTTCTGGGTTGGATTTTTTTTCACTGGGGTGGACCTTCCCCCTGGAAAAAAATTCCTGGATCCGCGCCTGATTCAGGCATTTAGATTGATTGACTGATTGTTTAATTCCGTGATATAATATTGTCAAATTTATTTATTTTATTTTATTACGTATGGAGACATTGCACATGCCATATTTTCTAAAGAACAAATTAAATTTTGTTTCCTGTGTTCGATGTATTTTTCGTAAGTTTCCTAAATGCAGATATTACATGCTGCTACTCAACTAAAAGCACATAATAATTAAACATATTGAAAAGATAACCAAAGCTAATAAGTTCAAATGTTTGTTTTTGCTTTAATTGTATTCCGAAATTTAAATTTTAATCAATATTTTTTTTATTTGTTCCGTATTGACTATATAACTTTTAATATTTCATAGATTTTTTTTAACAAGACGCATGAATGCAATGCTTAAACAGTGAAAAGGGTAATCATGATCAGTTTAATATGTTTGATATGACCATTTTTCTTCCAGAATTTTATTGGAAAATAATGACGCAATTTTATTGAAATCTGTAATGTGGAAATATACATGTACGGCGAATGAATAAATTGTTTGTATGACAATCTATTTTCGAAAAAGATTGTTTCTTTTGTTTATTTTTTTTATTAGCTCTTCTGAGCCAAAGGCTCAAAGAGCTAATGCTATGGCCATTTGTGCGGTGTGCGTAAACTTTTTAGAATATGGGCCATAAGTCAAGAACCCCTTGGCCAATTATTGTCAAATTTGTCACAGGGTATCCTTGGCCCAAGGGCTACCATTTATACTAAAACTAGGGTTGGGACCCTTAAACAAGGGGAGATAAACAGGAAAATAAAACTAAAAGTACTGTTTGCTAAAAAATCTTCTTCTCCAGAACCACCAGGCTGATTTTCACCAAGCTTACAAACAAGGATCAGGATATGTTGAAGATTAAAATTTGCACGGGGAATTACCTTGGGGCAAAGGGCGTGGTATCAAGGTCACTTCAAAGTTGACCAAAATTTTACTTTATAAAAACATTGATATTTTGCTTATTATAAAGACTAGGATCATCAAATTTTGTAAGTTGATGCATCTTAGGACTTTACATCATGTTAACTCAAAAGTAGGTCACGGTGACCTACTTTTTTAATTTTGCGGGCATTTGTTTTGAAATTGATTTTGAGACATATTTTGCACACTTTAAGGCCTATGATCATCAAACTTTGTCAGTTGATGCATCTTGGGTCCTTGAACAACGTCAACTTAAAAGTAGGTCATCGTGACTTACTTTTTGAATTTTATGGCTAATCTTTTCTAAAACATTTAATCCCATTAATTCAGACACTGAGAGGTTTAGAATCATCAAATCTTGTAAGTTGATGCATCTTGAGGCCTTAAAACATATTTATGAAAAATTAGGTTACTGTGACCTACTTTTTACATTTTGCAGGATTGTTTTCAAATTGTTTAAAAGGCATATTTTGAATACTTTCAGACCTATGATCATCAAACTTTGTCAGTTAATGCATCTTGGGTCTTCGGAAAACATCGACCAAAAAGTAGGTCACAGTGACCTACTTTTGACATTTTATGGCTATATTTACGTATCTTAGGTACTTATTGGCTTAGAATCATCAAACTTTGTCAGTTGATGCATCTTGGGTTTTCGGAGAATGTCAACCAAAAAGTAGGTCACCATGACCTATTTTGACATTTTATGGCTATATTTAAGTATCTCAGGAACTTATTGGCTTAGAATTGTCAAACTTTGTCAGTTGATGCATCTTGGGTTTTCGGAAAATGTCGACCAAAAAGTAGGTCACGGTGACCTACTTTTGAATATCTCAGGTACTTATTGGCAAAGAATCATCAAACTTTGTCACTGGGTTTTCGGAGAATCTCGACCAAAAAAGTAGGTCACCATGACCTACTTTTGACATTTTATGACTTTATTTAAGTATCTTAGGTACTTTCTGGCTTAGAATCATTTGATGCATCTTGGGATTTTTCGAAGAATGTCAACCAAAAAGTAGGTCATAGTGACCTACTTTTGAATACCTCAGGAACTTATTTGCTTAGAATCATTAACCTTTATCAATTAATGCATCATAAGTCCTCAGAAAATTTCAATTAAAAAGTAGGTCACGGTGACCTACTTATGGTACATGTATTTTATAGTTAAATTGAAATATCTTCAGTCCTAACTGGCTAAGAATCATCAAACTTTGTCAGTTGATGCATCTTGGGTCTTAGGATATTTAGAGTTAGGGCTTCAATATTAATAGAAGTGATAGATTGTACAATTTGTCAGAAGAACGATTCAAGGCCCTTGAGCCTCTTGTTTTATTTTGTTATAAGGCTATTGATCTTTCTATTTTCATCGTGTAGGATATATTATAGATTTTTCCTACATATTCCTATGTAAAACTTTGATCGTCCATTGTGACCCCACCCTACCCCGGGGGGTCATGATTTGAACAAACTTGAATCTACACCACCTGAGGATGCTACCAAATAAATATGACCAATCATAGCTTTACTGTTCTTGAGAAGAAGATTTTTGAAGATTTTTCCTATATATCCCTATGTAAAACTATGATCGTCCATTGTGGCCCCACCCTGCCCCCGGGGGTCATGATTTGAACAAACTTGAATCTACACTACCTGACAATAATTCCACATGAGTTTTATCTTTCCTGGCCCATTGGTTCTTGAGAAGAAGATTTTTCAATAATGCCATTAATTTTTGCTATTTCGTAATTATCTCCCCTTGGAAGAAGGCGCGGCCCTTCATTTGAGCAAACTTGAATCCCCTTCACCCAAGGATACTTTGTGCCAAGTTTGATTGAAATTGGCCCAGTAGTTCTGGAGAAGATGAAAATGTGAAAAGTTTACGACAACAACGATGACGACGACAGACAACGGACAAATTTCGATCAGAAAAGCTCACTTGAGCCTTCGGCTCAGGTGAGCTAAAAACTATGTACGATTCATGAGGCGAGTTGGGGGGTCCCTCATTTTGAAATGTTCCATTTGAGTTATTAAATATCTATATGTAAAAGTAACGAAAAACCAACCTTAGGAAAAACAAAGCCCACTTAAAAAGTATGAGGAGAGAGTCGTGTATTTGAAAAAAAAAAAAAAAAAAACTTAACCAAGCCCCTCCCCCTATCCCCTCCATTCGTATACATGTATATACCCGGTACACAAAATATGTTTTTCACGTTTGAGCTGGTTGCTTCTGACTCGTATCCCACTAGATAAAAAAAAATCTGCACTCGCCACCGATTTCTGAAAATATTGTAAATTGTATACAAGTACAGACCGCTGTTTGAGGCCGGAGAGGCCGTTAAATGTTTGAAAAATGAAAAAAAAAAAGACGCTTTACCATTATTCATTTTCTTTCAAGTTGAACGAAAGAACATCGGTCACTGTACACGTTAAATCTAGAATGTGCATCCACTTCCTATAACTATGTAATTGTTGCATAATGCTTCAATATTGGCAATTCTATCAAAAAGCAATGTACATGTATATTCATTTACGTTTAATATGTTCTCTATACAGATTGAAAATAAAGTAACAGTACTTATAAGGGTTGAGGTAAATCATTCACAATTTACTTGGGAAAAGAATAGAGGCATACAAAGTGAGGACTATTCTATTTTCGACTCTCAGTTTTCAAAGTTCGTACTAGAAAATAATTATTTTCAAAAAATAGGTAATGAGAAATGACACATTTGATTTTTTATTTCATGTATTAAATGGCATAAAGGTTTGGCGTGTCAGGAAGACAAAAATTTCCTAACAGTATTTGAATTCTCTAAACAACAAGGTATAGCAATAAAATACATGCGATTTGTTTTAGGTTTGTAAATTCTTGGTAAAGGCGATACGCTCTATATTACACGGTCTTCTTATCAGTGTAGAGTTTCAGACTAGCTGGTTTATAAGTGAACGTGTTTGTTGGGGTATATCATTTTTTCTTTAGGAAAAAAACCCATAAAATTTCATACAGAATGCGTTCAGAGTCCTTTTATTTTTAAACAATGTATTTATCTTCCGTACATTGTAAATACATACCAGTATGCAAAATGGAAAGTTTACCAATTCATATTCCGAAGTAATTTTAATGGCTAAAATACATCCACTTTCCACTAAATATACTTCACAGTAAATTTACCAAATTATCAATCAGTGCGTAATTTAATTTAAAAAAATATAAAGAATCGACCGTGCAGCTGTGTACGTGTTAGAGATGACGTTATGTTCAGACAACACAATTTTTTGAAATGTCTCTCTCTTTTAAAAAAAATTACTTTGTCTCAGATTATGTGCTGAAACAGGATCTTCCTCGCCTTGATAAAATTTGTTAAAATTATACATAACGCAGGTGCGATTTACGTCATTGATACAACGTAAACCCGCAATTATTAATAACGTCACAACTATTGTAACGTCATTTACGTGTGACGTTACGTTTTTTGGCAATTCAAAAAATTACGTTGGCAGCGAAAGGGTTAAGAGATGGTTTTAGTTATGGCTTGAAAATTAAATATTCTGGACATCGTTTTTCATCAACATGTACCAATTTAGTATCAATTCTGCAACATCCAAACGAAGTTAAGCAAAAGATAGACAAAGAAATTGAATTAGGTCGAGTCGCAGGTCCTTTTGATCAAGTACCCCTGCAAAATTTTAGAATATCACCTATAGGTATCGTTGCTAAAAAAGACGGGAGTTGGCGCTTAATACATCATTTATCATTTCCGAAGGAAATAGTGTAAACGATTTTATTGACCCTGATTATTGTACGGTTCATTACACACCTTTCGATGAAGTATTAGATATGATTGCAGCATTAGGAAAAAAAAACCCTTCTTGCAAAAATGGATGTAAAGGCAGCATTTCGTTTATTACCAGTACATCCTTCTGATCATGAATTATTAGGTTTTAAATTCAATAACAAGTTTTATTATGATATGTGTTTACCTATGGACTGTTCTGCAAGTTGTGCCCTTTGGGAAAAATTTGCCCATTTTTTACAGTGGGTAACTATTACAAAAACAGGCATAGAAACGATAAACCATTATCTAGATGATTTTATTTTCGCTGCTAAAGATTTCAAAGCATGTAAATTATTAATGACTAACTTTCAAAATACTTGTCATGAATTTGGAATTCCGCAAGCAGAGGAAAAAACTGTTGGTCCTAAACATTTGTTGGTTTTTCTAGGTATAGAAATTGACACAGAAAAAATGGTTATCGGTATACCAGAGGAAAAAACCATTGAACTTAAGAAAACTATTGAAACAATTTTGGGAAAATCTAAAATAAAAGAGCTACAGTCTTAAGTAGGTTCTCTGAATTTCTGCGCTAAAGTCATTCCTGCAGCTCGTGCCTTTAATCGTCGTTTTTGTGATGCCATATATGGTATTAAACATTCGTCTCATTTTATAAGGGTTAATGCTGGTATAAAGAGCGACCTACAGGTTTGGTTAAGTTTCCTCGAACAATTCAACGGTACCTTTAATTTTTTAGAGATTAAGTGGCTTTCAAATTTTGAGCTTCACTTATACACAGACAGCACAGGAAATGCACAACTTGGCTGCGGCGTTTATTTACAAGGTCATTGGGCATTTTTTCCGTGGCCCACCCAGTGAGATGCGCAGGATTCTGACATAATATCTGATATAACTTTTTTAGAATTAGTTCCAATAGTTCTGGCAGTCCTGTTATTTAAAAATCATTTCCAAAATAAAAAAATAATGTTTCATACAGACAACATTGCTTTAGTATCTATTCTGAATAGGAAGACATCTAAATCTAAAAGAGTAATGGAATTAGTGCGTCCTCTAGTGCTCCATTCAATGGTTAACAACATGTATTTTAAAGCAAAACATATTTGTGGTTGCAATAATTCAATCGCTGATTCTATTTCCCGAAAACAGTGGAAAAGATTCCGGGAACTCGCACCAGAAGCGGACAAAGATCCTATACCCATCCCAGAAGATTTCACAAAGATGATATTAGAGCTGAAATAGAGCATTTAACGTTTAAGTCTATTGCCCCTAACACGAAACTACAGTACTCAAATAGTTTAAAGATATTTTGTACTTTCAGGAAGGACTACGGTTTAGATGATATTTGGGGTCCTCCCCTCTCTCACTTGTGTATATTCATTGCTCACCTGTCCCTTCGTGATTTAGCGTACAGCACAATTTCATCTTATTTATCTGGTATAAGTTTTAAATGCAAGTTAACAGGTACCACTGACTATACACAATGCTTTCTGGTTAGAAAATTATTAGAAGGTATAAAACGTTCCCGTAAATCAGTTGACCGTCATTTACCAATTACCGAAAACATTTTGAAAAAGTTCATACCAAGTTCAAGTCTAGTGTGCTCCTCTAACTTTGAAACATACCTATTTTGCTCTGCATTTTCATTAGCGTACCATGCATTTTTGAGAAACGGTGCATTTACATGCAATAAAACAGGTGACATTCACTATATGTTATCGGCATCAACGATATACAAATTTTATTCGATCAGTCATTAAATAAGAAAATATTAAGGTTGACAGTTCCATATTCCAGGACTGACCAAACAGGAAATGGTTCAAGAATTCAGTTGAACGAGTCACCTACACAAGTCAGATGCCCCCTATTTCATTTGCAAAGACATTTGTTTGTCAGACCAAAAATTAATGGTCCGCTTTTTGGTCACGCAGACGGCAGCCCACTTACCCGTTATCAATTTACGTCAGTCCTTAATAAAGCAATAAATCCTTTAGGTCTTTCAAATTCACGTTACACTTCCCACTTGTTCCGAATTGGGGCTGCCTCGGACAGTTTTTCTAAAGGCCATTCTGAATCCGAACTAATGAAAAAAGGTAGATGGATTTCACATGCTTATAAATCTTATATTAGAAATCAGTGAAATATATTTTTTATCACATACGGCAAGAAAAAAGTATATGGATAGT